CTTCTGACACCAAGAATAGGGCATAGTTCCTGCCACTGACACCAATGATGGGGCACTATTCCTCCCACTGACACCAATGATGGGGCACTATTCCTCCCACTGACACCAATGATGGGGCACTATTCCTCCCACTGACACCAATGATGGGGCACTATTCCTCCCACTGACACCAATGATGGGGCACTATTCCTCCCACTGACACCAATGATGGGGCACTATTCCTCCCACTGACACCAATGATGGGGCACTATTCCTCCCACTGACACCAATGATGGGGCACTATTCCTCCCACTGATACCAATGATGGGGCACTATTCCTCCCACTGACACCAATGATGGGGCACTATTCCTCCCACTGACACCAATGATGGGGCACTATTCCTCCCACTGACACCAATGATGGGACACTATTCCTCCCACTGATACAAATGATGGGGCACTATTCCTCCCACTGACACCAATGATGGGGCACTATTCCTCCCACTGACACCAATGATGGGACACTATTCCTCCCACTGATACCAATGATGGGGCACTATTCCTTCCACTGACACCAATGATGGGGAACTATTCCTCCCACTGATACCAATGATGGGGCACTATTCCTTCCACTGACACCAATGATGGGGAACTATTCCTACCACTGATACCAATGATGGGGCACTATTCCTTCCACTGATACAAATGACGGGGGCACTATTCCTTCCACTGACACCAATGATGGGGCACTATTCCTTCCACTGATACAAATGATGGGGCACTATTCCTTCCCACTGACACCAATGATGGGGCACTATTCCTCCCACTGATACCAATGATGGGGCACTATTCCTCCCACTGACACCAATGATGGGGCACTATTCCTCCCACTGATACCAATGATGGGGCACTATTCCTCCCACTGATACCAATGATGGGGCACTATTCCTTCCACTGACACCAATGATGGGGAACTATTCCTTCCACTGATACAAATGATGGGGCACTATTCCTTCCACTGACACCAATGATGGGGAACTATTCCTACCACTGATACCAATGATGGGGCACTATTCCTCCCACTGATACCAATGATGGGGCACTATTCCTCCCACTGACACCAATGATGGGGCACTATTCCTCCCACTGATACCAATGACAGGCCACTATTCCTCCTACTGACACCAATGAAGGGGCACTATTCCTCCCACTGACACCAATGATGGGGCACAATTCCTCCAAGTACTGGAAACAGTATAACCACAAGGGTTGCGGTGAGCTGACATAAGAGGAACCGAAAAGCCTTGGTCTACAGTACCGAGATGCTGCATTGCCTTCCTATAACAGAAGGTACTTACAAGTGCTCACTTCAAGTGCGAAAGCCTGAAAAACGAAGAGCTTAGCCTCTGCTTACGGGCAACTGGTCAGAATCATGCATATCATGAGGCATTGGATGCGGAAGTTGCCCTTTCGGACCGTGAATATCAGTGGTGCAGGTACCAGGAGAGGGAAGTGTTAGCTGTGTCCTTTTGAGGCACTTTTTTGAGACAATTTTTCTCAGACGTGACCATCACCAGGGGTGGACTGACAACTCATGGGGTATCATGGGGAACCTGTGTCCCTTGCCCACACCCAAAAAAGCCTATGAAAAAGCCAATGAAATGTACCAAGGGCATCTCATGGAGCCCCCTACTGACCCCGGGCCCTCAGTCATTGCCCGAGTGCTTGAATGATCAGTCCGCCCCTGACCGTCACCTTAGCAGAACATGATGTAAAGTCCATGGAGGACGAGGACGTGAAACAGTCACATTCAGACTACTTCCAAATGATTCCATTTACCACTGGCACATCACAAGGCGCTCTCTTTGTTCTGTTTGTTCTGCAGATTACACATTTCCAAGCCTTTACGACCCAAAAGTGGCAGCAGCAACCTCCCGACCTCTCGTCAACGCTTCCCTTAACCGTCTCCAGAAGACCTTCTTCTGTTTATCGTCATCTTTCCATTCTAGGTAGGTCTTGCTGCTGAGGTGCCTTTTCAGAACGTACATATGTTTCAGTTGGTCTTCTCTGACGGGTCTCAGTAGGATAAGAATGATTCCACACTCATCCTCCAGGAACCTCCAGAACAGGGCCAACCTAAACTCAAAAGAACACCATTTGCTCTCGATGAAGTTTGGAGAAAGGATGACGAGAGCGTTTCGGCTGCAGCAAATACCGTTGTAAAAAAATATTTTCAAGGATCAGCTTGCCTGCTTCGAAGTTTCTGTAGTGCACACAAAGCCGAAACGACGGGTCGCCATCTTCCAGCTCCGGGAGCAATTCGTTCCTCACCCATTCCTCATCTAGACCGGAGTGTATGACAAAAGCATCGTAGGTTTTCTCGGTCACTGACTTTTTGTAGCCTTGGCGGCAGAAACACAAAAAGAGAAAGCAGTTTTTCAGGTAGAAGTGATACACCAGCAGTGAAAGAAACATAATTACGACGATGACCAACATGATGACATATACGAGAGTCCAGCTGCAGTTCAGGTTGACCTCCCAGAGTGGCAAACCCTGAAGGTGTTCTGGCGTCTTGCACTCCATGCGATTGCTAAAGTTTGCATTTTTGACGCTCCGCTCATGGACCCAGAGCAGAAATTGTTCTTGGGTGCAAGAACAGTCATAGGGGTTATCTGAAAGGTCCACTTTCGCCAAGCTAGTTGATAGAACCTGGATGGTATCATTAGATAACCCCTGGATGTTATTAGCGCTTATATTTAAATGTTTTAGTGCAAAAAGAGAAAGCAGGACAGAGGCATGAAGTTCCATCAACCTGTTCTTGCTCAGGTTCAGCACTTGCAGTCGTTTGAGGTGTCCAAATGTTTGGTTGGGTATGTGCTCCAAGCTGCAAGATGCCAAGTCAAGAAGACGGAGGCTACTTAAGTTCTGGAAAACGGAGCCCAATACATCAGGAGCAAAAGTGGTATGGGATACACGTAGCTCTGACAAACTGAAGAGTCCGCAGAAGGAACAGTGGATTATAAAATGGCACGAAGTGTAGGACAGATCGAGGTAAGTCAGATTATTCAGAGTCATAAATATCGGATATTGTCCTACACTGTCCACCTTCGAGTGACTCAGGTCTAAGGAGAGAAGATGGGGCATGTCCAGAAACATGCTCCTCAACCCGATGTAGGAATTATAGCTGAAATTCAAATGCTTGAGGGATTTCCCAGAAATCTTTTTACTACAGCATGTCTCCAACATTATTTTATTTTTACTCAGATCTAGGAACTCTAGTTTGTCTAACTTAAGCAGTGAATGGTCAAAGTTGGTGAGCCGTCGGTTGTCTGTTATCTGGAGCTCCTTCAGGTGCTTTAAATTCGAAACTATGAAGGAAGGCACGTTCAGACGAAGGAATGCTTGAGTTCGAACTTCTGCATATTCGAAGTAAAAGACTCGTGGCTGAATTGGTATAAGTTGGTGTATATGAAACGTAGTGAGGTAATATTCTCCATACAGTCGAAAAAGGTGTTTGTATATGTAAGATAGAGGTCCGTAATTGTCAGCTCCTCGACATCCAACCCACACAGCCCTTCAAAAAGATTTTCCTTGAAGGAAACCCTTGTAGGAGAATTCCTGTACTGTCCAATGATTAGCTTTTGGACACGAAGACCTGAAATGGCATTTAGGCCAGCCTTTAGGACATCTTCATGGGAAAAGGTACCTTTGAGGTGTAATAGTTGGAGGGTCACGAACCTAAAAGCCCCAGGGTCAATAGAGTGTATGGGATTCTCAGACAGTACAAGACCGAGGTTGGAGGTGTTGGCGTGTCGTAGGTTGTCTAGGTCTTCCTTGTTGATCTTAGTAATGTTGTTTGCACGAAGATCAAGGACATGGAGATTAAATAAAACACAGGGAATATAAAGTCGATCGATCCTGTTTTTAGCCACGTTTAATTCCTGTAGTGATGAGAGATACCCAACTTGAAGTTCAGAAAGAGATGCAAGAGATGTTTCGACGATAACAAGTTTCCTTAAAGAAGGTAGACCATCGAAGGTCACTTGGGACCAATGCTTGACTGGGTTTCCTGTGAGGAATAATGTATGCAAAGCGTCCAGGCCAACAAATGAATTGTCTTCTATTGTAGTTATACCGCACCTGCAGAGAGAAACAAAAAAGAATATGTAACGTGCTGAGATAATGCTCTACTGGGCAGATTTAAAACATACGTTTACTCACATATAACATGAAGGTAAAAAAAAAAAGCTCTCCTTCGAAAAGCCAGAAGGATATTTTATGGATGTTATCTGGTACGGGGGTAATATATCTGCATTTAGGAATGCATACAGCTCTTTTTGAAAAAAAAAAAAAAAAACAATCTACTGAGTTGGCCAGAAATAGCTCCTGAGGGAGTTTATTCCACATACCATATTTTTCGCTACATAAGACGCACTTTTTTCCCCCCAAAAAAGGGGGGAAAATGTCAGTGCGTCTTATGGAGTGAATATGGAGCGGCCGGTCCGGTATTTCCACCGCGGCCGTGTCAGAATACCGGGCCGGCCGCTCAGCTCTGCAGCGGGACATTATGGAGATGACTGCTGACCTTTGGGGAGGTGGGGAGCAGGTACCTGAATTTGACAGGTACCCGCTCTTACTTCTTTGTTCTTTGATCTTACCTGTTCCTCTATCCAGCGGCGTGCTGTCTTCCGGCTTCTGTAGTGTGGGCACTGGGCATGACAGCCGGGTGCCAAGTGCGCATGCGCAAGAAGCGATGCTTTTTGTGAATGGTAAGGCGGTACCTGGGACACATGACAGATCCCAGAAGCCGCCGGACCAATCACAAAGCGCAAGTGCTTCTCGCTCATGCGCACTGGGCACCCGGCTGTCATGCCGAGCGTCATTACAGAAGCCGGGAGGAAGACAGCGCGCGGCTGGATCGAGGAACAGGTAAGATCAAACTAAAACTCTGCGGAAGTAAGAGCGGGTACCTGTCAAATTCAGGTACCCGCTCCCCACCTCCCCAAAGGTCAGCAGTCATCTGTACTGTCCGCAGTCTCTGGTCATCCCTGTGCTGTCCGCAGTCTCTGGTCATCTCCTGTACTGTCCGCAGTCTCTGGTCATCTCCTGTACTGTGTCCGCAGTCTCTGGTCATCCCTGTGCTGTCCGCAGTCTCTGGTCATCCCTGTGCTGTCCGCAGTCTCTGGTCATCTCCTGTACTGTCCGCAGTCTCTGGTCATCCCTGTGCTGTCCGTAGTCTCTGTTCATCTCCTGTCAGCAGTCTCTGGTCATCTCCTGTACTGTGTCTAGGCAGTCTCTGGTCATCTCCTGTACTGTGTCTGCAGTCTCTGGTCAGCAACTCCTGTACTGTGTGCAGTCTTGGTCTCCCTGTGTGCATCCTGTACTGTCCGCAGTCTCTGGTCATCTCCTTTACTGTCCGCAGTCTCTGGTCATCCCTGTGCTGTCCGCAGTCTCTGGTCATCTCCTGTACTGTCTGCAGTTCATTAGTTCAGAAATTTTTTTTTTCCTGTTTTCTGCCTCTAAAACCTAGGTGCGTCTTATGGTCGGGGTGCGTCTTATGTGGCGAAAAATACGGTAGTTACAGCTCTTACTGTAAAGAAGCCTTTCCGTATGTGGCGTTAAATCTCTTTGGTCTTCAGAACACCTCTCCTGTTAGAAATCACGGGGCCCCGTATAGCGCACCTGACAGGACCCTCTTCGACTCCACTCCACCTAAAAAAAATGCAGCTTTGTCTGCAAGTGCATGCAGTAGAAAGGGGAGGAGTTACAAAGTGTAAATGAGACCTAAGGCTGCAGGGCTTTTTTTCCCCATGGAAAACTCTATCACACCCCCATCGTGCCACTCGCCATCTGTATCATCAATAACACCCCCCCTTTGTGTACTACATACAGAATGCAGAGTTCAGAAGTGTGCTACATACAGAGTGCAGAGTTCAGGAGGGTGCTACATACAGAGTGCAGAGTTCAGGAGGGTGCTACATACAGAGTGCAGAGTTCAGGAGGGTGCTACATACAGAGTGCAGGGTTCAGGAGGGTGCTACATACAGAGTGCAGAGTTCAGGAGGGTGCTACATACAGAGTGCAGGGTTCAGGAGTGTGCCACATACAGAATGCAGGGTTCAGGAGTGTGCTACATGCAGAGTGCAGAGTTCAGGAGTGTGCTACATACATACAGAGTGCAGGGTTCAGGAGTGTGCTACATACAGAGTGCAGGGTTCAGGAGTGTGCTACATGCAGAGTGCAGAGTTCAGGAGTGTGCTACATGCAGAGTGCAGAGTTCAGGAGTGTGCTACATGCAGAGTGCAGAGTTCAGGAGTGTGCTACATGCAGAGTGCAGAGTTCAGGAGTGTGCTACATACAGAGTGCAGGGTTCAGGAGTTTGTGCTACAGAGTGCAGGGTTCAGAGTGTGCTACAGCAGAGTGCAGAGTTCAGGAGTGTGCTACATGCAGAGTGCAGAGTTCAGGAGTGTGCTACATACAGAGTGCAGGGTACAGGATTGTGTTACGTACAGAGAGCAGGGTTCAGGATTGTGCTATGTACAGTGTACAGGGTTCAGGATTGTGCTATGTACAGAGTTCAGGGTTCAGGTTTGTGTTATGTACAGAGTGTAGGGTTCAGGATTGTGCTATGTACAGAGTGTAGGGTTCAGGATTGTGCTATGTGCAGATTGCAGGGTACAAGATTGTGCTGCATACAGTGTACAGGATTCAAGATTGTGCTACGTACACAGTGCAGGGTTCAGGATTGTGCTATGTACAGAGTGCAGGGTTCAGGAGTTTGTTACATTTAGAGTGCAGGGTTCAGGATTGTGCTGTAAACAGTGTACAGGGTTCAAGAGTGTGCTGCGTACAGCATGCAGGGTTCAGGAGTATGTACATATTGCAGGTGTGCGTATCTCACAGGCCAGTTTACAACCTCCTCTCCCCCCCCCAGCAGTACAGAGCTCTCCCCCTGAATTCTTCCCCCTCCCCTTTAGTACAGAGCTCTTCTCTCTCCGCCTTGCCCAGTGCAGAGCGCCCATCAAGGTCTACCCATGATTTACCCAATTACTGTTCAGTTCCACCAAGCCAAGACCAAGGCCTAACCATGATTTACTCAATTACCAATTCATTCTAACCAAGCCAAGACCAAAGCCTTTCATGACTTATCCAATTACCATTCAGTTCAGCCAAGCCAAGGCCAAGGTCTGATTACGATTTACCCAATTACCACTCAGTACCACCAAGCCAAGACCAAGGCCTAACCATAATTTACCCAATTACCATTAATTTCAGCCAAGCCAAGGCCGGGGTATACCCTCGATTTACCCAATTACAAATTCATTCCAACCAAGCCAAGGCCAAGGTCTAACTACGATTTACCCAATTAGCACTCAGTTCCACCAAGCCAAGACCAAGGCCTAACCACGATTTACCCAATTGCCATTCTGTTCAGCCAAGCCAAGACCAAGGCCTTACCATGATTTACCCAATTGCCATTCAGTTCAGCCAGGCCAAGACCAAGGCCTAACCATGATTTACCAATTACCATTCAGTTCCAGCAAGCCAAGACTAAGGTCTAACTATGATTTACCCATTACCACTCAGTTCAACCAAGCCAAAACCAAGCCTAACCAGATTTACCCAATTACCAAGTTCAACCAAGCCAAGGCCGAGGTTAACCATGATTTACCCAATTACCATTCAGTTCAGCCAAGCCATATACCTCGATTTACCTAATTACCAATTCCAACCAACCAAGGCCGAGGTCTAACTATGATTTACCCAGTTATCACTCAGTTCCACCAAGCCAAGACCAAGGCCTAACCATGATTTACCCAATTGGCATTCAGTTCAGCCAAGCCGAGACCAAGATCTACCCGTAATTTACCCAATTACCTCTCAGTTCCCCCAAGCCAAGGTCTACCCGTGCTTTAACCAATTATCATTCAGTTCCAGCAAGTCAAGACCAAGGTCTACCCGTAATTTACACAATTACCTCTCAGTTCCCCCGAGCCAAAGTCTACCCGTGATTTAAACAATTACCATTCAGTTCCAGCAAGCCAAGACTAAGGTCTAACTATGATTTACCCAATTACCATTCAGTTCAGCCAAGCCAAGACCGAGGTCTACCAATGATTTACCCAATTACCACTCACAGAGGTTGAGGTATACCCTCGATTTACCCAATTACCAATTCTGTTCAACCAAGCCAAGACCAAGGCCTAACCATGATTTACCCAATTCGCACTCAGTTCCACCAAGCCAAGACCAAGGCCTAACCATGATTTACCCAATTAGCACTCAGTTCCACCAAGCCAAGACCAAGATCTAACCACGATTTAACCCAATTGCCATTCTGTTCAGCCAAGCCAAGACCAAGGCCTTACCATGATTTACCCAATTGCCATTCAGTTCAGCCAAGCCAAGACCAAGGCCTAACCATGATTTAACCAATTACCATTCAGTTCCAGCAAGCAAAGACTAAGGTCTAACTATGATTTACCCAATTACCATTCAGTTCAACCAAGCCAAAACCAAGGTCTAACCATGATTTACCCAATTACCATTCAGTTCAGCCAAGCCAAGGTCGAGGTATACCCTCGATTTACCCAATTACCAATTCATTCCAACCAAGCCAAGGCCGAGGTCTAACTATGATTTACTCAGTTATCACTCGGTTCCACCAAGCCGAGACCAAGGCCTAACCATGATTTACCCAATTGGCATTCAGTTCAGCCAAGCCAAGACCAAGATCTACCCGTAATTTACCCAATTACCTCTCAGTTCCCCCGAGCCAAAGTCTACCCGTGATTTAAACAATTACTATTCAGTTCCAGCAAGCCAAGACTAAGGTCTAACTATGATTTACCCAATTACCATTCAGTTCAGCCAAGCCAAGGCCGAGGTCTACCAATGGATTACCCAATTACCACTCAGTTCAGCCAAGCCAAGGTTGAGGTATACCCTCGATTTACCCAATTACCAATTCATTCCAACCAAGCCAAGACCAAGGCCTAACCATGATTTACCCAATTCGCACTCAGTTCCACCAAGCCAAGACCAAGGCCTAACCATGATTTACCCAATTAGCACTCAGTTCCACCAAGCCAAGACCAAGGCCTAACCATGATTTACCAATTACCATTCAGTTCATCCAACACATTCTTATATTTCAGCAACGCCATACCTGTTTTTGATGAGCCTAGCTACTTTGAAGATCTGTCTGCACGGGTACAAATCACATCACGTTACCGTAATTGAAATATGGCGTAGCCAGCAAATGATTTCTGCAGATTTACCTTGTAAGATCGAGGATCTGGAGTTGGGAAAATCTCGACAAACTCCCGTTATAGAGATGTTTAAGAGGGTTAAAACTAAGATCGAGCCCACTAATCTCCTCCGGCAAATCCGCGGGAACGGTGGACAAGTTGCACTTATAGCAGTTCATGGATTCTTGATGAATGTCCTGCACAGAAAAGGAAAAAAGGACTTATTTGTAGCTTATGGAACCTGAACCTCAAGAGGCTGAAGCTCCAAGACCATAGCTGAACGCACAGATGGGGGACCTCGCTGTATATCTCAGCCAAAGGACCATTCGTTATTGGAATTTTACAGCCCTGCCAGAAAGTACAGCCAGTCTGGAGACCTGACATTCCTCTGCTGCAATTTGGTAATACAGCTGAGTCTTGTCCCCGCCCCCCCGACTTACAGCTGGTCAGTAAATGAGAAACAACAGATTGATCAGCTCATCTATGTGTCACTCTGCTCCCTCCTCCTCTCAGCAAGCTGCTTGTTAGCATAGAAGCGCTGCGGCACGCCTGATTGGCTCCTTGTGCTGCTTCTCACTCTCACAGTCTGAGCTCTGCTGTATAGGGGGTTGCAACAGATACCGAGGCATGGGCAGTAAGTTACAATATTTTAATGATGTTTATGGGACACACATCTACATGAAATTCGGCTTCCTGAGTGCTAATGAGGTGTCCAAATTGTGGCCCTGGGGCTGCATGGAAACACTTTACTTGCCTTTATCCAGCCCTTGGGGGACTATTCCTTCCACATGCACTGATGGACACTATTCCTCCCACTGACACCAATGATGGGACACTATTCCTCCCACTGATACCAATGATGGGGAACTATTCCTCCCACTGACACCAATGATGGGACACTATTCCTCCCACTGATACCAATGATGGGGAACTATTCCTCCCACTGATACCAATGATGGGGCACTATCCTCCCACTGATACCAATGATGGGGAACTATTCCTCCCACTGATACCAATGATGGGGCACTATTCCTCCCACTGATACCAATGATGGGGCACTATTCCTCCCACTGATACCAATGATGGGGCACTATTCCTCCCACTGACATCAATGATGGGGCACTATTCCTCCCACTGACACCAATGATGGGGC